ATGCTTTTGCTCGGCTTCCGTCTAAGGGCACGTGCGAAACGGAAGCTGAGCTATCTCTTTGCTTTCGACCCCCCCCCCTCAATAATTCTCATTTATTAGATTTTACAACATAGTCCATTAATCTCAATTTCAATGATTTTATTTGTACAGTGTTGACGAATTCTCTTCCATATCTGCTGCGCCTCTCGGACGAAGTTAAGGGTTTTTTGTTGGGGGCATACTCACAATATTAGAATTTCAGTCGCACGCCTGCTTCGAATGAGACATCGTATACGCAGCTGTAGCTTAGCGTTCATGTGGTTGGCTTCAGGACTGCACTTTGATTGTACTTTGACGCCATTTGCCTCACATTTGAAAAACCTTACGCCCGAAACTCGTACTCAATGTTTGCATGCTCCCCCTGGAATCTTTCCTAACCTTGTTCCAAGAGGTCCGTTGATAGAGAGAGAGAGGAATATTCGAAACGTTTTCGTAATTACCATCCAAATCTTCTCATTGCTTATCCCTCCAGGCAATTATCTTTTCCTGGTTCTTCTTAGTTATTGCCACTTCTAGATGCTTGAAACTGTCGCGATCTTAGGCACACCAAAGCAAAAGAGTCGAATTACATCTGCGGTCTTGCTCGAAACTTATTTGTCCTTCACGTGCTTCCCCAGTAGGTTTAGCTTCCTCGATTACCAATCCCGAGTTCCAAAATATGCCTCTGCTATCCCGCTGACATTGAGGTAATGTTATTCGCAGTACGGTAACCCGAGCAGTCCGCGCTCTACCGCCCGTGAATAAACGACGCCGCGCACAATTGCAGACACCCCTTGTGACGCTTTCGAAAATTTCGTCAGCTCTAAAAAGTGCTTATTTTCATACTTTTTTCATAGTTATGTGGGATTCGTTTGGTCCTATAAGATCACTGTAGCGTGTACGGAGCTTCATACTGATATTTTATTTTCATAACGTGTGTTAGTGGAAGATTACGAGTTAATGTCTGTCACTTTGATAATTTGAGTTACGAGTGTGACTGACTTGCTGAATTCATCTCAGGTATCTGGTTCCATGTTTTTGTGATTTCCACAAATGACAACTCTTGCGGAGAAGAGAAGTCTGGCGTTGGCAAAAGCGCAAGCCTTCGTCAGGAAAAGAAAAGTAGGTCACCTTCTTTTCGGAATGTTTTTTTTTCACTATGCTCAGTGTTTTCGCTTCAGAAAATCATATTTTGTTCTGGCTATATCTTATCAGATTCAGGCAGAGGCACCACTGAAAAGCGAGAATGGTGATGAAAAGGAAACGAATCCCGAGGACGAAAATCCTATTCGACCCAGTTCGTTCGGGCTCCGACCTCACTTCTCAACGTACGGTTTTCACATTGTTGTTATGATAACCACATGGTTTTTTTTCCTTGGAGAACATTTTGGAAATTCTTCTATGTTTTCGGAATCTTCTG